GGAAAACTTGTGTCTTGAGTCCTTTAAGTGTGTTTGGTAATGAAAGAGGTGCCAGGGCTCAAAATTTTTTTTTACTTTCATAATTGATGCAGCAAGCCCAGAGGTACCAGGGCTATGAACTGCCAAGCCTAGAGGTGCCGGGGCTCAGCCCTGGCAAGCCCTGGCACAAATTAAGCGCTGGTGTCTAGGTATATCTTGGAAATCAAATGATTACCCATTTCCACAGATCTTCACTTCTTCCCCATAATCTACAGCAGGAATGGTTTAACCTGGGACTCCTTTCCTTCATAAAGAGCCACCAGGAATATTAATTTTCCAAATACATTTCAACCAACCTGACTTGAGCTGGAGTATCTTACCTCCTCTCTGTTGGATGTTCTGACCCCAAAACGACCAACAGAAGTAGTGTCAAGCAAAACCAAACAATTCCCAAACTGTGTCTCTGGTTCCCTTAGGAATCTTTTTATATCCTCTCTGAATGTTTCCAGCTTATAAAGTTACATTACATACTATTGTATGAAATGCACATTTTCATATGGGACCTAAACCTTAAAGCAATACTCACATGTGCAAGTAGTCCCTTTGAAGTCAATGTGATTATTCATATAAGTAAAATTTTGTAGGATCAGACCCAAACATATTAACTCCTGATGTCGAACAAGCCACAATATCTACAGGCCAGATACTCTGCTGGTATAATTTGGCTTAGTGGCCACTAAAGTCAATGGATCTATGCCAACACACATTTACAGTTGTGGGCCAGATCTGCTCAGCATCTGGCCCACAATCTTTACAGAGAGAGGCTCATAATAACCACTTGTAATCTGCTTGTCTAAATATTGATGCAAGATTGTGTGCTAATGTGGAAGTGTATTTAGTTGCTGGTATGTGAACAACAGCTAACTAACAATACACTGCCTAATCAGCACATACACAAAATTAGTTCTATTATGGGCCTTAATGCTGCAAGCCCTCCACATATACACACATGCTGTTTCACTGGGAGGTCTTCACTTGGAGAGTTTGCAAGAATGATGGGGTATATGTGTTACTTGGCTTACCTGGGAGCTCATATAATGAAATAGTCTGGTTTTTTTTTAAATAAGAACTGCCTAGATACAAATACAAGGCATGGATTTCATCAAATGAATACCAGCATTTGGACACCAGGATTGTAGATGCCTTAAGCTAATATTGAAATACTCCTATCAAGAAACAAAGTTTATTTCTTTTAAAATTAATTTAAATTAGCTGGCTATAAACCATTTCCCTTGAACAGAAAACTGACAAAGTGCCTAGCAATGTGAATGGTAAATGACAGTGCATTGATCTGAGGGAGGCATCCAATAAGTGTGCTGCAGAAGACAATAACCCCAGTTTTCCTGAACATCTGAATTAGTGATCCTGAAGAGGAGTTAATAGAACATTAATAATATTGACAAGTAATGCTACAATAGGAGATGTTGCAAAAATCATTGAGAACAGAGAAATGATACACAAGGATAAAGGGACCAGTCCCAAAAAGTTCTAAGCACCTTTTACACCCAAGAAAGTCAGTGGGAATTGAGTGGTTTTCGGAACCTAATGGAATTGTACCCATCAAGTGTGTTAACATAAGGACAGGGAAAGAAATTAAACAATATTCAGTATGAGGCTGATATTTCTTGCAAAGCAGTAATGCAGTGACTGTAGCCGGTATATTATATATATGTGTGTTAACAACATGAAAAAAATCAATCTCTTTGGTCTTCATTATGCACGATCATAACATTCAGATTAGAGTTCTTCTCTCTGTGGAACTGGTGAGAACCCCTAGAAACACTACATACATTTTTAGTACTTCAGAACCACAAAAATGTTGACAAATTTGAAGGCACTTGGAGAAGACGGGAACCATTTTCAAGACACTGTTCCCCTTTCCTCTCTCGCCAGTACAATAGTGGAAATGTCATGATGACACTAAAATATAATTTTGGGGTATTTGGTAGGACATTTGATTGAACACCTTTGGGTTTGTCAATTTTTAAACTCTATCAGCTTTTAATTGCTCATTGAAAAAAATGTAAATTTTGCCTAATGTTGTTTTATTAATGTATTGACATATTCTATATAAAACAGCAAGAACATTTCAAAGGAAAGAATTTAGGAAAGTCATTGCTTGTTGGTTTGAATTCTACTATCTGTCTATCTGACTTAAGTATTTATAAGGCCTCCTATCATATTGGTCTCTAAGTGCTGATCAAAATTTAAAAGCATTATAAGAGCTAAACAAAAGTTTTCTCTTTGTACTTTGGATAACAGGAGTGTGGTGAAACAGCGATAACAGTAAATATTAGGTTTCACTATTGTTTGATTATACCCTTTACAGCAGAAAATAAAAAGGGCCTACAAGATGCACCATGTAAAATAAAAAGAAAAGGAGGACTTGTGGCACCTTAGAGACTAACAAATTTATTTGAGCATAAGCTTTCGTGAGCTACAGCTCACTTCATTGGATGCATTCAGTGGAAAATACTGTGGGGAGATTTATATACACAGAGAACGTGAAACAATGGGTGTATATAAATCTCCCCACTGTATTTTCCACTGAATGCATCCGATGAAGTGAGCTGTAGCTCACGAAAGCTTATGCTCAGTAAATTTGTTAATCTCTAAGTTGCCACAAGTCCTCCTTTTCTTTTTGCGGATACAGACTAACTCGGCTGCTACTCTGAAACCTGTCATGTAAAATAAGTTTTGCTGCAGTTGGATGATCACAGTATGTGCAATAAGATAGCAGGTGTAAGTTAGCTGGTGTCGGATTTTCAACCAGCTAACAATACACTGCCTTCCTAGCACACACATTTAGTTACCACCAATGTTCTCACAAGTTGGTATCCTGATGTCTTCATAGTCCATCTCATTAAAATAACAGGGAGCTGTCCCTGCAGCAGGTGACAGTGTAGTAGAGACTGCTAGATTCACATAAAGCAGCCAGCTAACAGTACACTGCCTACCAGACACAGGGAGTCTGAGCAAGGCAACATATTTCCTTTTTAAAGATGGTGTGACTGAATTTTATTCGTAACAGGAACTTTGCAAAGTGGAGTGATGGAAAAGTTAAAGAGCCATTTGAGCAATCACTCCATTTTCCATCTAATTTCAATGTTGCTAACCTCTTTCAAAATTAACTCAATATGTATTTCAACCCAAAATGTAAATACTTGCATGCAATAAATATCAAGGGCATGATTCTGATCTTAGTTAAATTACTGGTAATACAGACTAATTCCAAGGAAGTCAGTTGAGTTACAACAGTGTAAAGCAGTAAAAAGTGAGATCTGAATCAGGCCCTAAACTGTCAGCCAAAACTTCAGAGAGTGTTAGACTAGATTTGCTTTTCATTCACATCAGTTTTACTGGATTTAACTGGAATCACCCTGGATTAACACTGGTGTAATTTAAATAAGAATCAAGCTAAATTCTGCCCTTTTTTGGTAACCATTCTAGCTCATGCCCTGATTCAGCAAGGCATTTAAGCATGTGGCTAACTTTAAGCATGTGAGTAGTCCCATTGACTTCAATGGGCCTTTGTATCAGGCCCGTAATGAGCAAAATTGATGTTGCTGATAAAAATTCACCTTCACAGTGTTTAATTATTATAAATTTGGATCTTAGGACTCTTATGGGTAGTGAGCTGTATGGATGTTACTGAAGGCAGAACCAAAGAGGTTGTATGGATGTAAATAAGGACAGATTGTGGTCCTTTCTCTTTGCTTTTCAAAACTGGGCTCTTATACCACTCAAAAGGAATTCTATCTTGCAATACTCCTGAATTATCAAAAAAAAACCCACCTATATGAACAATTACTTGTCCAGTTGCCACGGCTAGGCAGAAGCCAAATGAATGAGTTGGTTAATATGGATCTGATTCCCATCACAGTCCACAAGAGGTTGCTATTTCCATGACTTCCATGATGCTTTTGAATGCAACAACGTGGAGTGCAGCTAGCAACTGTTCATATATCAAGTTCTCAACAGCCAGCTAGCAATGCACTGCCAAACTGTCACATCCTTGTGCTCCATCAGTGCTTCTTGGCCATTTTCTGTGTCCCACAGACAGCTTTTTATAGCTTAGCTATTGTTCAACATGTTTAGTCTAGCATTGTGCCTTCCCAATAGTATTGCTTGTATGAATGTTAACAGTAAATGCCCAAATAAATCTGTTAGTCTTTAAGGAGTCACCGGACTCCTTGTTGGTTTTGTGGATACAGACTAACATGGCTATCCCTTGATACTTAACAGTATAGTAATATACTTGCGTGTCAGTGATTACTACACTTCTGTACTATATTCTGTCTTTAATGCACCCTGTTTATCTGCTCTAAAATTTCCAGTCTAGGTGTCTCCCTTTACATTGCCTCCATCCCTAAGTGTATCTGAATCTCACTTAGGATTCTACTAAAGTGACTCACCAGATTTACACTGTAAGCTTTTGAGGTAAGGGCTGTCTGTATTTTGCATCTTGTACATTGCCAAGCACACTGTTGGTGATTAACACATGGTAAACTCTAAGTTTAGATCTATCCACTATGTTTTCACTCTTCATTGTTTCTTCTATTCCTTACCATGCAACCACACAAGTATGTGCCAGCTGGCTTGTGATGCTGCATGGACAGGCATCTCCCCACATGCCTGCACCCACTTCAACCAGATCAAGTAGCTTATATTCAGTAATCGGTCCCCATAACCCTATGAAGAAAGAATCCCAGGATCTACTTCTGAAGTTTTCATTATATCACTGCCACTTTGCCACTAAAGTAGCTTATGCACATTTGTCTACGGTTTCACATTATGCATTTAAATGAGCTTCATTTGTAGTGACTCTAATAACACAGGGAAAAAAATCTCTTAAAATGTTATTTTTGTGTTCATTATTATATAGATGTTCTACTTTTTCTGTCCCTTCCTCCCTGCCCCTAAAAAATATACAAAGCAGATTTTTTTGTATATGTACTTACCTTAGTGAACTTCTGTAAACTTTGTTTTCTCATCTGCTTAAGATCTTTCCCAAGTGTTTTCATTACTTTCTCCTTAAAAAAATACAGAAGTACAAACAATGCTGTTAAATGTATCATCTGAGCAACAACTATTTTTATCCCCAGTCTAAATCAATGGTCAAATGAAACCAGAAATTTGTGGAAGATCAAATCCTGCAGTCCTCCCCCCTCTTGTACCAAAATTATTGAAGTCTGTGGGCCCTTTTCCACACTCTGCTAAGCTAAAACTCTCAGCTGACTTCATGAGTTCTGCCTGAGTTAGGAAAAAGTATGATCTTTATGACTTGTTCCACAATTATTGTACTCTGTAACGGTGAGAAGATAATCACTTTACTCTACTCCAGCAAAGCACTGGTGAGTTAGAATAAAAAGAAAAATGAATGGCATTTACCCACAACATGTCTTCATCTGTCTTGACCTTCCTAGAAGCAGATCTTTCTAATTTCCACTCCATCTCTGAAGATAAGCTCCTGCCAGGATTATCTACCTTAAAAAGTACTTATTTATAATGTAGCTATATTAACTTATGTGCACCCATGCGAATAAATATCACTCACTTTTGAGACACCAGGGTCCGGAGCCAATCTGGCTTTTTGCCTCTTTTCAAGGACAGAGTGATGGACTAGATGCCCTTAACAGCCACCCTTCTTATTTAAACTCCCTCCTGCGCCTTCTGCCTGCCTTACACTCTGCCCTCCAGGAGCCCCCTTATCCCCTGTCCACCCCTTGCCTCCCCAGCTCCTCTCCGCTACGCTCCCCTCCTCCCCACTCTCCCCCTGCCTGTCCCCGATGAGATCTCCCAGAGGGACCGACATGCCATTTAAACAGACCGCACGCGCGGCAGGCAAAGCGGGAATTCCCTGCCCTGGCAGCTGATTGGCCGCCCGGCTCTGTGACTGAGGGGGATTCCCTTCTTGGGAACGCTGGGGCGCGGAACGCAGGTAAACGGCGGGGCCTGCCCGCTCCCTCCCTGGAGGCTCCTGCTCCCGGGCCCGCGGTGGCTGGGCGGCTCGAGCCTCCTCATTGTCTGCAGCGGGGCGGAGCTGCTGGCAGCAGCGCCAAGGCTCGCGGGGGTCCCTCTGCTGCCACCGATGGCGGGCAAAGAAGCGGGGCTTGGCTCGCCAGGCCCTCTAACAGGCTTGGCGGAGCTGCCCTGCCCCCATCCCAGCCTGCTCGCCGCCCCACCGCAGCCTGGGGCGCGTTAGCTGGGGCTGAGTTGCGGGGCAGAGGATCGCTCGGCAGCAGCAGCGATCCCGGCCGCAGGCGCTAGGAAGCTGAATCTCCCGAGCCGGCAGCTACAGAGCTGAGGAGCCGAAAGCCACTCGCTGGCTTTCATCAAATGTTACGTTGGGCTCTTTCTTCCTCCCTTCCCTCCTCCCCACATTTCACTTTATGCCAAACTTCGGGGGCGGGACAGAGGAAAAGTGCATGAAATGAAATGGCGAGCCAGCGAAATATTTTATGCCACCTTTTAGCAAACGCCTGTTTTCCCTTTGGAAGTGTGAGTCTTGGCCCGGTTTGGATGCAAAACCGTCATCACAGGCCTGCTTAGTCTCTAAAATGGATGCGGTGGGGCGGAGGCAGGGGATGTGTCTGTTTTACTCCAGAAATAATGGGCATCGACAAGTCCTCCCCTCTCTGTCTAAGAAATGGTCCTATTCATCTAATTAATCATTGATATGTTGATTTATTTGGAAATCTGTGTGCTGTCTTTACTATTAATTTAGGCTTAAATAGAGACTGGGAGTGGCTAAGTCATTATGCAAGGTAGCCTGTTTCTTCTTGTTTTTTCCTACCCCCCCCCCCCCCCAGATGTTCTGGTTTAACTTGGATTTAAACTTGGAGAGTGGTCAGTTTAGATGAGCTATTACCAGCAGGAGAGTGAGTTTGTGTGTGTATGGGGGTGGGGGGGATGTGAGAAAACCTTGATCTATGCAGGAAATAGCCCGACTTGATTATGTAAAGAGTTGTCACTTTGGATGGGCTAGCACCAGCAGGAGAGTGAATTTGTGTGGGGGGTGGAGGGTGAGAAAACCTGGATTTGTGCTGGAAATGGCCCACCTGTTGATCACTTTAGATAAGCTATTACCAGCAGGACAGTGGGGTGGGAGGAGGTATTGTTTCATATTCTCTGTGTGTATATAAAGTCTGCTGCAGTTTCCACGGTAAACATCTGATGAAGTGAGCTGTAGCTCACGAAAGCTCATGCTCAAATAAATTGGTTAGTCTCTAAGGTGCCACAAGTACTCCTTTTCTTTTTGCGAATACAGACTAACACGGCTGTTCCTCTGAAACCTAGCATAATCTGTGTTGTCATTAGTGTGATGTCATTTTGCAAGAACTGCGGTATATGTGACAGGTTTCAGAGTAGCAGCCCTGTTAGTCTGTATCCGCAAAAAGAAAAGGAGTATTTGTGGCACCTTAGAGACTAACAAATTTATTTGAGCATAATCCACTGCATGCCTCGGATGAAGTGAGCTGTAGCTCACGAAAGTTTATGCTCAAATAAATGTTAGTGTCTAAGGTGCCACAAGTCCTCCTGTTCTTTTTACACTATATGTGATATCTCTAAAACAGTAAGAAAAAACTCCTGGATTTTTTTTTTTAAAAAGGATATGTCATTCATGTTTTGTATACTGTATGGGGAGAGCAGTGTTAGAAACACTGCTGGCCAAAAGCATTAAACACACCACATAAAAATATCTCACAGATTTGATTTGAACTTCTGCGAATATTCACATGTGTGAAACTACTCACCTATGTGACCAGTTTTAAGGACAAGACCAAAGTATGCATTGAATAAGGCAGATGAGCCGCTACCACCTTCCTCTAGGGTGGTAAAGTGGGGTAGAAACACTTTCCCACATTTTCTAAACTTCCTGTGGAAAGACTGGACTATTCTGAGCAGAAATTTTTAAAAGTGGATTTTTCCTTCAAACTATTTTGCAGGAAAAAAATCCCAGTTTCACAACCAGCTTTAGTTTTATAGCTGTGTGGCTGTACACACAACTCTTATGAGGCACTGGGGAAGCAAGGTCATGAAGGAGAACGTTTGTTAGCACTTTCGCTTTTAGTAATACTTAAATGAATACCACACAATACAAATACAATATACTTTCTGCTTGATTTATTTCAAAAGTGTCATTTCATAATCCCACAATTTATTCGTGAAATGCAAAGCGTCTGAGTCACTTAACCTTGTTTTACATGATTTCTTTAAAAATAAATAATACAGTAGGTTTTGTAAGCATTTCACCCACACACGGTCCTATTTGCAACACTTCAGATAGTCGTTTAACTGAATATTAATTCCTCTTAAAATAATATTCTTCAGTAAACATTGTCATATAATGTTACAGTGCAGAATAATTGGACAAGTAGTAAATGCTGGCATGCATTACAGCATGTGAAACCACCAATTTGGTGGATGAATGCTCCATGAATAAGCAATAACCAAGCAAGAATTATTAACTATTATGTATATGGAATTGTCAATTTGGACCAGAGTATGAACCTCTTGTTCACACTGATGAGCAGTTATTTACCTGAGTAGCCTTGAAATGAACGTAATGGGACTAGTCATGTTTAAGTGTTCAACAATGTGAGCAAAGGGTTCACAATCTGGTCCTTTGTGAGCTCTTCAGTGAATTTGATTTGGAGTAAATTCCTAAAATAATATTATTGGCCTTTGTTTGTCAATTTGAATTATGATCTATCAAAATGTAATGTGTGGGTTTCTCAAAAGTGCTCTGCTTTGGCCTAACTTTGCTTTTGTTGATCCCAATTTTCTTTGCTTTCTTGAGATTTTAAAAATGTATATTTCATCACAACACAACCACCTTAAGACCAATCCAAAACAAATAGTATTCATTCAACAGCATCTCAAAATATAAATACAATAAAAACCCTTTAGAAGAAGAAACAAAAAACATACATGTGCACATTAATGATATATATTCATCTGCCTCAATGCAAGTCCACAGTTGTAGCAAAATTTCCCAAGGATATATAGTTATGCACCTTCCTGTTAAACTACTGTATATATAAGACTTCATTCTCAAGAACCCTGTTATAAATACATTGCCAAAAATCCATTGTCGTTGACAAATTTAACTTATTTATTTGTAAAAAGAAAAGGAGGACTTGTGGCACCTTAGAGACTAACAAATTTATTTGAGCATAAGCTTTCGTGAGCTACATGAAAGCTTATGCTCAAATAAATTTGTTAGTCTCTAAGGTGCCACAAGTCCTCCTTTTCTTTTTGCGGATACAGACTAACACGGCTGCTACTCTGAAACCTTATTTATTTGTATTACACTAGTGGCTATAGGCTCCAATCAAGGGCCCAAAATGCCAGCCATTATACACCCATATAATGAAAATATGCCTGGAGGAGCTCACAGTTAAATATATGACAAGAAAAAAGAGGTGGATACAAAAGCAGAGGGGGGAAGCACAGTATAACTGTGAAACTATTCGCAAAAAGAAAAGGAGTACTTGTGGCACCTTAGAGACTAACCAATTTATTTGAGCATAAGCTTTCGTGAGCTACAGCTCAAGCTCACGAAAGCTTATGCTCAAATAAATTGGTTAGTCTCTAAGGTGCCACAAGTACTCCTTTTCTTTTTGCGAATACAGACTAACACGGCTGTTACTCTGAAACCTGTGAAACTATTATGATTTGTATACTAAGCATACCAGTTTTCTAGTCATTGTTACTTGTAGACATCAGGAGTGATTTTTAAGGAGAAATCTGAAGGAAGATAATGTAGTGGATTTTGGAGGAACTTTTTGTAAATCTCCTCTGCACGTTGGGTAGCAAAGGAGAAAGCATGATAAAATGTTTATCCATTTATCAGTTTATCTTAAGCATATTTAAATACTGAAATCAAGATAGACAAAAAACACCTACTACACAAAAACTTTAGAGTTAGGGTTGTTGTGAAATATGGATTTATTTGTACTTGGTCAGAAAAAAAGTGTTTATTGATTAATACAGTAAGACTTAGCATGTGCCTTAATACTCATTTCCTTGTTTTAAGTGTGTGGGGGTTTGTAAACAATGTGGTAGGTAAGTACAATGTTGTCGCTTAGGAACCTTAACTGAATTTTGAAACAAAAAGTGTTTTGTTTTTAGAATAGCAGTTAAGGGCTGAGCACCTGCTGACATCGGGCATAAAACCACTAAGCTGCCTTTCTTTGCATTATTCAGCATATTTTCCATGGGGTACTTCCTTTTGCCTGAGGATCTGAGAGAAGCTTGTCCCACATACACACCTTCCCTACAATTACAGGTGGGTCAGGTGAGCTCTTCCAGGCCTCTTCCGATTGCCCAAGAGATAGAAAGTTCCAACAGGCTGACAGCTATCACCAGCATTACCACACTTAAACAGTCAGGCCTCTTTACCAAGAAAAAGATCCCTTTCTCATTTCCATT